ACCCCAGAAGAGGGCACCAGATCTCATTACAGATGGTTGTGAGCCACCATGTGGTTGCTGGGAATTGAACTCAGAACCTCTAGAAGAGCAGCCAGTGCTCTTAAGCTCTGAGCCATCTCTCCAGCCCTAGAGGGGTGTCTTAGGGTTTTATTGCTGTGAAGAGACACCATGACCATGGCAGCGCTTACAAGGAAAACATTTAATTGGGTGGCTTATAGTTTCAGAGGTTTCGTCTGTTATCATCAAGGCGGGACATAGCAGCATGCAGGCAGACACGATACTGGAGAAGCTGAAAATTCTACATCTTGACCAGAAGACAACCAGAAGTGAACTGAGATACTGGGCGTGGCTTGAGCAGATACGAGACCTCAAAGCCCACCCCCACAGTGACACACTTACTCCATCAAGACCACACCTGTTCCAACAAAGCCACACTTCATACTGCCACTCCCTATGAGATTATGGGGGCCAATGACATTCAAACTCCCACAAGGGATGTACCGGGAGGCTGTATCCAGGGGCATCTTTTGATAGTCACTAAGCATCTTTCTGTCCTCCCAGAGCTGTCCTAGGTGCTAGGGCGGCCCCTGGGTAGTTTCAGAAGAGGGCCAGTCATCAGAAAGGTCAAATGATCAGCAGGTTGGAACCTTTAGCCCCCCCCCCCCCACTGTTCTCCCTTGATGACGGGAGTCAAGGAGTCCTGGAGATGGGGTATCTGCAAAGCCTTGAGCAAAGAGCTCCTTTTGGCTCTTCCAAGCGATGAACACGGACTGAGCAGACCAACCCTATAGAGACAGAAAAGCTCGCACCAAGGACCCCATCCAGATCCCACCCTAGGTACCTCTGTTTATCTGGCCATTCATTGGAATCCTTTATAATAGACCAGTACTACATGTAAGTCTAGTACCTGCCAAGGTTCTGAAAGTCAACTCTAGCAAATTGTGGGATGTGAGGAGGGGGGCATGGGAGCCCCTGTGGACAGCTTGTCCACCAACAGGACAACGGATAGCCAGAAGTTTGGGACTGGTCTCTCGCAGGGGTGCTAGCTTGTGAGACTGAGCCCTTCACCGGTGAGGTCTGTGCGAGTCCCACGTGGTTCAAGCCATAACCGAATGTAATCATCAGACACCCAGCTGGTTTAAAGAACTGGTTAGTGACAGAAAATGTCCCAGAAGCTATAATTAGTGAGCAGATTCTGCCCTCCAACATGAGGGAGTTATCGGGCTTAACATTCAGCCGGATCATGAAAGAATGTTCCTAGGGCTTTCAGTTTCTCATCATCAGAGGGCAAGACCCACAGCCCCTGCCTGGCCTTGATTTAGAGCCGGGGAACTTCCCAGTGCCCTCTTCCCCAGTGTATCTGCCAGTCCTCCCTCCAGGCCTGATCAGGATCCCGCCTTCACACTCAGGAAATGTAGCTGGGCTCTGAGTCATGGCTGTCCTTGTCATTGTGAGTCCTGCTCCATCTTTTCCACAGTTTCCCCTAGGCCTCTGTTAGTCATCCCTCATGGTACCTACTGCAGGCCCCACCCCCACCCCATGTCTGCCCTAGTTCTGAACCTCTTGCTCTGCTCGTCCAGTTGGGCTGCCTCTTTCTGAGAACCTCAGGCTCCAGAAAGAAAAGGGTCCTATTGAGACCCAGGGTTGGAAAGGGGCCCAGGTGCTGGCTAATTTTATGTCAACTTTATGTTAATGTCATCTGAGAGGAGGGGACCCCAATGAGAAAATGCCTCCCTAAGATCAGGTTGTTGGCAAACCTGTAGATCATTTTCTTAACTAGTGATTGAGGGGGAGAACCCAGCCCATTGTGGGTAGGACCATCCCTGGGTTGGTTGCCCTGGGTTCCGTAAGAAAGCAGGTTGAGAGCAAGCCATGGGGAACAATCTAGTAAGCAGCATCCCTCCAAGGCCTCTGCATCAGCTCCTGCCTCCAGGTTCCCCTCCTGTTGGAGTTCCTGTCCTGACTTCCTTCAGTGTCCTCACAGGGCTCCCAGTCTCCTTCAGGAAACAAAGGCAAAGGATGTTCTTGAACGAGCTATCATGGAGGTAGCGAAGGTTGGGATGCACCAGAGAAGGGACACCGAGGGTGACCAAGGGACACCGAGGGTGACCAAGGGTCAAGGAGTGAGGCCTCAGCTGAAATGCTGAAGATGAACCGGAGTCCGCTGTACTACAAATGGGGACCCCAGAGTAGAACCATCCTGGGCCTGAGAGATGGCTTTGGGAAAGGACATTTGCCACTGTGTACAAAGACCTGAATTTGAAATCTGGGACCCATATTGGGGGAATCTCATTCCCATACGTTGTCCTCCTTTGTGAGCCATGAAGGCGCTCTAACATGCATGCACCCAAACACAGATGTGCAACATAAGTAAAGAAAAAAAGAGCAACCCTAGAAGCAGGGAGGGTCCAGAGAGAATGGTGGCCAGGATTCAGTAGGGCAGGATGGAGAATAAATGACCGGGGACAGGGGTTAGTTCAGACTTTGAGCAAGGTGGTCAGGCCTCGGGCCTGTGACGTATGGACATTCACCAGCCTGGCAGGACTGCTCAGAGCAGAGCAGAGACACTGTCACTGTGTGGAGAGAGACAGCCTGGGTTCGTGAGAGTTGACTAACCATCCATATGACGGTGTGAGCACGCTGTCAGCATGGAGGAGGGACCGGACATTGGCTGAAAAGGCTGCAGGGGATCCTGTGGGGTACCAGCACACCCGAGGATTGTCTCTTTTGTGGGAAAACGTCTCTTTGGAGACTGATAAAAGCTGGGAGCCAGTCCCCACATAAAGTCATGCTCTGCGTATCATTTTAGGGATTGCACAGACTCCAGAAAGCCTAGCTAGTCTTGGAAATGGCTGGACACAGCTGTCATTCCCTAACAATGACAGAAAAATCCCCACTGCTATCCTAGCTGCTTCTTGTGAGAGTGTATGTGGGAAGGGGAGCCATTCTGAGTTTGTGGGATGGTTGCCTCAGGGAATAACCTGCAAGGCCTTTTGTTTTGGTGTTGTTGACTAAGCAAGGGCTGAAATCCAAGGCTTTACGCACGCTTGTCTTGCGTGTTTTAAAACGTTTAGTTGGACTTAGTGGCTTATTCATGTAATCCCAGGATTTGGGAGGCTGAGGCAGGAGGATCTCCTAAAAGCCACCCTGGGGACCTATCTGGTACCTGAGCTATGAGGACTCATGGGAACTGAATAGTGCTTCAAGAATACCTCTGGCTTCCAGAAACCCCGGATACACCAGAAGAAAGAAAGTGGGAATGAAGAAAATGTGTCCAGGAAACCAGGAGGGCTGGCAAACTGGGTTTAGAACGCAGATGGAAACAGAGGACAAAGTTGGAACCCCAGTGCTCTCCTGGCAGGGTGGCTCCGGCTCACTCAGCAAGCCAGGCTAAGGGCTAACGCTCGGTTCACACGACTGCCTGCGAGGGACTTTTTTCCTACTTTGCTCGTGAAGCCCCCCGGGGGTTGGGTCCAGAGAGGTACTGTGATCTGCCCAAGGTGACACAACCTGCGAACAGCAGCGTCGAGGCGACCCCGAGCTGCCAGCTCTCAGGACCCGCACTCTTCCACTTCGCTCCACGCCCCTCCCCTCCCCCGCCCCCCTCGCTCTTCCGCCCCTCCCTCGCCTCCCTCCCGGGTGGCGGCCGAGCCACGTGGTGGGCCGGGAAGCGGCAGCCGCCGAGCGCCCGGGCGGCTGCCCCAGCTGGGCAGTGCTGCACCGTGCCGCGCTCGGTGCCTGCGGGGGCCGCTGCGCGCTGGCCGGCGCCGCGGGCGGGAGGTGTACCGACGGCCGGCCGCAGACAAAGGAGACGCCGCGGAGCCCGAGCGGACCCCGCGCACCATGCACTCGGGGCGCGGGCGGCCGGCCGCGGCTCTGGGGATCCGGCCCTAGTCGCCGGCCCCGCCGCCCCGGGGCGCCATCGGGACGACGCGGCCCCGCGCGGCGCGAGGAGGAGCCATGGGCAAGTGCAGCGGGCGTTGCACGCTGGTCGCCTTCTGCTGCCTGCAGCTGGTGAGCGGGGCGGGGTGGGGCCGCAGCCGCGCGTGGGCGCCACCCGGAGTGTGGGGTGGCCGGGCGGAGCCTGCCCCGCGCGGGCCGGCTTGTCCCTTTGTGTGCGCTCTTCGCCTCAGCCCCGCGCTCGCGCGCACGGTCCAGCGCGCCTGGGCTGCACGCGTCGGCTTGTACGGTGCGCGTGGGCTCCCGCTGGGGCTGCGCCCCGGGACTGTGGCTCCCTTGGGTTTGGGGGGTGTGTCCGAGGCTGGTCTGTGCACTCGGCGAGGTCTCTGACCGCATGTTCCCTTTCAAATCGCTGGTTCCGTGGGTACCCCAGTCCCCTGGGCTCCGCCCCTGTGAGTGTCTCTCACAAAGTCTCTTTCTGCTCCTATGTTGTGTCTCTGGAATGTTTTTAGATTTCTGGCCATTTCTGCTTCCTGTTTGTATGGTGGGACCTGGGACTCTTAAGAGCCCTCAGCCGTCCTTTGTGCTTCTTTTTTGCCTCCCGGAGCCCTCCTGACTGGATGGCCAGAGATAGAGTGCTGCCTCCGTGAGGAGGGTCACCAGGAATTGATGTATCTTGAGCCAACCTGATTTGGCAGGCATGGGACCCACTCTGTGGCTTTGATCTGGCCACCGAGTCCCCCAACGTCCCAGGAGCCATCTGTTCCATCAGCAGCGGGGTGGGGTCAGGTAAAGAGTGCCCTGGTCCCATTGGATGGGGACACTTAAGTGTCCTGGGAAGAATCCGATCATCTGGGGACTCTGTGCTGGCCCCAGTTTGGGGAAATGAAGTGTTTGACTGGGGAGGAGGGGGGGCAGCAGAGTGAATCTGGAGGCTAAGAGTAGCTGAGGTCCTGGCCTGTGAACTGGGAAGGTGACAGAAGAGAGGCAAGGGTCTCCTGCCTCCCTTGGACCTGGGCTCCAACACCTATGGGCTTTACTCCTCCTTTTGGCAGTGGCAGGTAGGAACTGCAAGACAGCACTCGGGTCTAAGGAGGAGTCAGGTATGCCTCTGCCTCACTCCTGTGGGTCCCTGCATCTGGGGCTGCTTTCTGACCTGCATGTGCCTCCTGCCCCCCCCTCCCCGGTGCAGAGGGTGATGGAGGGGCTTTGAGTGGGGTGTGTAGGTGACCCTTGTCCTCTCGATTTTCCTCTTGAGAAAGCATCCCTAAGCCTGCCATCCACAGCATTGTCCTCTTGGGCTCCGTTAGAACCTCCTCTACCCTAAGATTGGTGGCCCAGTGTCTGCCCCTCACAAGGCCACCTGGTCTGTCAGACGTCCATTCTCAAGGACGGCAGAGGGGGTTAATGACTACCAGATAGGCTGAAAACTTCAAAAGGGCAGAAATAGCTCATTTTGTTCTTGTTAAATCCCCAGCAGCTGGACGGACTTTGACACCTCATTAATATTTGTAAACTAAATGAAGAAACGGTTATTTGGCAAATCTGGGCTCACAGTATAAACATTCTTCTGTATCTTTTTTGTTTTGTTTTGTCTTGTTTTTCGAGACTGGGTTTCTCCGTGTAACCACCCTGGCTGTCCTGGGACTCACTCTGTAGACCAGGCTGGGCTGGAACTCACAGAGATCCTCCTGCCTCTGCCTCCAGAGTGCTGGGATTAAAGGTGTGCACCACCACTGCCCAGCTCCTGTATCCATGTTGAGAAACACAAAATGCCGAGAAGTCTTCAGACTTTTCAGAGGATTCCTTTTCTTTAAAAAATTTTTGGAGACTTGTTAAAATTAATTGTGTGCATGCATGCATATGTGTGTGTGTGCGTGTGTGTGTGTGTGTTGTGCATGCGCACGTGCACATGTGCATCAGTGCATAGGTGCTCAAGGCGTCCTGAAGAGGGCCATGGTGCCCTGGAGCTGGACATACAGGTGGCGAATGCTGGTACCCAAACTCAGATCCTCTGCCAGAATAGTGCCCTCTTAACTGCTGAGCCACCCTCCAGCCCTAAGGATCCCTTTCTGGTTTTGTTTGCTTGTTGTGTTTGTTTATTTGTTTGAGACATGTTCTAACTCTGCAGTCCAGGCTGGTCTTGAACTCTCAGCCCCCTCTGATGGGTTACAGGATGGCTAGCTTAAATTTTAAACTACATTTTTCTGTCTGTTTTGCTTTTTTCAAGACAAGGTCTCACTCTATATAGCTCTAGCTGTCCTGGAACTTACGAGGTAGATCAGGCTGGCCTTGAACTCAGGGATCCGCCTGCCTCAGCCTCCCAAGTGCTGGGATTAAAAGTGTTTGCCGCCACCACCCAACTTTAAACTACATTTTTTAAACTTAAGAAATGATGTGCATATATTAAGAAGTGAATAAGTAAGTGCTCAGAGAGTGGAAAGCAGGGCAAGTTTTCCTCTCTCTCTGCCCGATGCCCTCCCATAGGTAAGCAGCTTGTCAATGCTCATTCTCCAGTACTGTTGCTAACTCACTGGGGCCAGCTACTCTTGTGAGTGCCTTTCCCTGAATTAATGCATTTAACCTTCATTGTGATCCAGTGATCCAACTTGTTTAGAGGGATCCAGGCATGGGACCAGCCTCCTCTTTTGCCTTAGCTATCTCATAAGTAGCTCTGGCCTTGGTACACTGGGGTACTTAGAGAGGTGCTCACCCATCTAGGGAAGCAGAAGTGGTACAAGGGGTCTCCCAGCCCCCAAGGTTTCCCAACCAAAGCGATGCCCATTCTTTCATCAACATGGAGATGCCTTAGATGGGACCTGGGTGGAATTCCACTTCTCTCAAGCCCTGCCTAGTTGGCTTGGGCAGCTTGTGGGGGCTACGTGAGACAATTTAGGCAGCTCTGGGGGAGTTGGGGGGACTTGAAAATTGGTCTCCTGGCTCTGTCGCTCTGTCTGAGCTGATTGCAGAGAGGGTCCCTCCAGCTGCCACTCACTAACCCCCTAGAGCCCCTGCAGCCTGGCAGCTTCCAGAATGTGCTCTCAGGATGGTGAATGTGCCAGCCTGAGGGGAGAAGGAGGCTCAGCTTTCTCATCCAAAGGACCGAGGTATTAAAGAGGCAGTTAGTTATTTTTCAGCTGAAAGCCTAAGGAAAGAAAGGATCGTTTTCTTCTTCCAGAGTTGAGGCATCGTAACGAAGCAAGCCAGTTCCAAACCCTTCTCTGGGGGGAGCTGTTTCGTTTGGGGCATAGGGGTGGAACACAAGGGATGGAGCGTTAGAGGAAGCAATCCGGGACTGTGTCATTGAGGGGGACAAGTGTGTAAGGTAATAATCGAGTCTCTGGACCTTGAACAGAGTCCTCTGAGTTCCAGATCTCTCTGTCACATAGTCATTTCCTGGCTGTGTGTCCTCGGATGAGTGTCTCTGTCTCTCTCTCATTTTTTTTTTTTTGTTTTCAGTTTTAATTTCTGTATTTAGTATATGTGTGTGCAGATGCCATGGCATGTGTGTGGAGGTGAGAGGACAGCATGTAAGAGTGGTTCTCTCCTTCCACCACCGGCTCCAGTGATCACGCTCAGGTTGGCAGGCTTGGCAGCAAGCACCTTTACTTTCTGAGCCATGGTACTCGCCTGTTGTTGATTTCCTTATTGTTGTTGTTTCTGGTTTTGTTCTTTTGTTGTTTACCTGTTGTTTTTAATTTTGAGACAGAGTTTCTCTATGTAGCCCTGGCTGTCCTGGACCAGACTAACTTTGAACTCAGAGATCCACCGGCCTCTGCCTCCCAAGTGCTGGGATTACAGGCGTGTGCCACCATGCACTACCTCCCTTCTCCAAAGCTCAGCTTTTTTGTCTCTCATGTATAAACAGTTCCCGAGCGTGTAGGTGCACAGGAGTGCATATGCATATGAAATATGAAGGCCAGTTGTCGATGTCAGTGTTTCCCCCAGCCCCTTCCACCATTTGTACCTTACAGTGATCCTAGATCTCACTGATCTGCTTATCTCGCAGGCCAGCAAACACCAGCTGTTCCCTTGTCCCCGCCTCACACACAGCTGCCCCCAACTTTCTTAGGTGGGTGCAGGGGGTTAAACGGGTCCTTATGCTTGTGTGTCAAGCACTGGATTGACAGAGCTGTCTCCTGGCCCCCCAAGTTCCTGATTCTTAGGGTTATAGGGGTTGCCTCCTCCAAGCTGTGACTAAAGCATATGGGGGGGGCAGTGGGGAGTGTCTTGTGCCTTCCTTTACAGGAAGTGGCAGGTACTGGGACCCTGAGCTGAGGGGTGGGAGGACTGGCTTCTACCTGCTCCGCCCTCAACGTCCCGCACATTTGTGTATCTGTTTCACCTGTTTTGCTTTGTTTTGCTTTGTTTTTTTTCCCCCATCTATGAAATACAGAGAACCTGAATGTTGGTTCCTGGGATCCCAGCTCTGCCTGCCTGGGATCTGAGAGGACGCCTGAGCTGGTGTGGAGGTTTTGTCGTTTCCTCTGTTCGCAGACCCTCTCTGGCCCTTCGGTTCCCTGGGTTCTAATTACTGTGACATGTTGACATTATTAATTCCGTTCTCACCCTGGTTTTCGCTCATTTGCATCTTTTCTCTCTCTTCCCACCTCCTTCCCAAGCTCTCAGGGCCACTCTGTTCTGGTGAGGGGATGAACCAGGGACATTTGCCCCAGGGACTCATCATGGGTTTCTTCATTGCCATCATTACCGCTCCCGTTTCAGGAGGCCTGTGCTAAGCACTCTGTATGCACTACCCCATTTAACCAAATGAGCTTACATATGTAAAGTGCTTGGCAGAGTGCCTGGCACATGTTAAACGATCAATAAATGCTAGCCGGCTTCCTGCCTCTGCCCTTCGCCTGGTCTTAATTCCACACTCGGGATGGATGGTTTTATGATCCCCTTTTTCAGATGAGGAAATTGAGGTGGCCAGGGCGAAGAGGTTTGCCCAGGGTCACCAAGCTAGTTGGTTGGCAGAACCTGAATGCCAGCCCCCTTGAAAAACGTCTTGGTGTCATACAGTTCCAGCCTTGAGTGTCTTCATCTCACGTGAGGTGTTAATGGAGTCGCGTATTGTGTCCCCATTTATGAACTGGCACGGGCTTCCTACT